TCTTGCTCTGTCACCAGGTTGGAGTGTAGTGATGCAATCTCAGCTCACTGTAACCTACACCTCCCAGGTTCAAGCGATTTCCCTGCCTCAGCCTCATGAGTAGCTGGAACTACAGGCACGCGCCAACATACCCAGTGAATTTTTTTTTGTATTTCATAAAGACAGGGTTTCACCATGTTGGCCAGGATGGTCTCGATCTCCTGACCTCATGATCCTCCTGCCTCAGCCTCCCAAAGTGCTAGGATTACAGGTGTGAGCCACTGTGCCCCGCCTGAAAATTTTATTTTAAATTGTTCATGCCACCAAAGGGGAAAGAAATGAGAGAGTGTGTGTGCATGCATAGAAATGCATAAATTAGGGATCATTTTGATTGATTTAATCACAGGCATCCTAATCATGTTTTATCTGAATTTTATGGAATGAGTAGATAAATTTTCTCATTTAATGGTAGATTTCAAGAATATTGGAATATTAGAAAATACTGTGTCATGTTAGCCAGAATGTTTGTAGATATATTGCAGCAGATTAATGAATGATTAGATTTATCTAAGGAAGTTTATTTGACTTGAGCCATCATGTATTTAGAATAAATGGATTTGAATATACCCTTTTTTTTTGTAAATTCGAATACTTAGCACTTTTTGTTGTTTTGTCAATTGTACTGTTGAAAAGGTAAAGGCAGAGTACAAAGTTGGTATTGGAGAAACTAGTTTGGGAAAACAACTGATGTTCTGACAGGGCAATTCTGAAATTCATATTACTTTTTAAAATAATCATTATGAATTACAATTCATACAATATTGCCTTGAGTTATGAAGAGCCACGTAATCCTACACGGCCTCCATGCAGCCAGGAGCGTGGAGTGCTGGGCACTTGGCATGACTTTAGGCCTTGTTTATTTCTTCCACTCTCTGGAGCCTGTGGTATGGGACTCCCTCTTTAGCATGTCCACAGAAGTTTAGGCCTCAGAGGGTTCATTCCTTATTTTTTTTCTGGGGGTATTCCATGTTATACATAAGTATTTTTTAGCTAAATTCACTTCAGTTTGATGTTTGTGACTGGGCATCCCTCTTCTAATAGTGCTCTTACTTTTTATAGGTATGCCTTACATTTTCTTGTACAAAGTGGAATTTCCTACTGTATCATGATCATCATAGGGGTGGAGAACATGCACAAGTAAGTATTCACTTTGTTCACATGCAAGTACATATTTCACTTAAATAGAATTGCGTTAGAATAGAATTTTATTTATTACATTAAAAGTAATTCTCAATTACGATAACATTTTAAAGAATTGTCATAAATACAAAAACAAAGTCATTGTATACATCATTCTTCTTTTTACTTAAAGCACCATTGACATTTTGGGATGGATGAGTCTTCGATGTTCAGGACTAACCTGTACATTTTAGGATATTAAGTAGCATTCCTGGCTTTTACCGCCTAGATGCCAGTAGCACCCCTTGAGCTGTGACAACCATAAATGTTTCCAGATATTTTCAGCTATCTCTTGGAGGAGTGAAATTGCCTATTGTTAAGAACCGCTGGTTTAGTGTGTTGATGATAGCAGTGGAGAGATAGAGAGAAGTGAGTAGGTTAGAGAGAGATTTAGAAGGACTGGTAGGAAATAAAGTGTCAAGGATGACTTCCATGTTTCTAGCTTGAATGGTAGGGTAGATGGAAGCACTGTTTTCTGAGGTGGGGAGCATGTTGTGGGCATAGTGCATTTCAAGTGGGTATGTATTCAACCCCTAAACAGTACTTGCTGTATAGTAAACACTGAATTTTTTGCTGTGTAAATGGATGCTGACTTTAAGATATCTGTAAGACATGTGAGAGGAGATGGATAACTGAGAAGATGTGTAGTAGGAATTGGGTAGCTGGACTAGAGATAAAAGTTTGGGAATAGAGATGGATAAAATGTACTTGGTTGAAAACCTAGGGACAGAATATATCAGCAGATCCTGCTGGGGTGTTTTGCAGTGTCTGAACTGTGATGTATGACATATGCACCATATTTCTGAATTCTGAATCACATATGTCTGTAAAAACTTTGTCTAAGGAATCAGACCAATGGCTTTAATTAGCTTGTTTCTAAGTCTCATTCTATTTTGCATTTTCTTTTTTTTTTTGAGATGGAGTTTTGCTCTTGTTACCCGGGCTGGAATGCAAGGGCGTGATCTCCGCTCACCACAACCTCCGCCTCCTGGGTTCAGGCAATTCTCCTGCTTCAGCCTCCTGAGTAGCTGGGATTGCAGGCACGCACCACCATGCCCAGCTAATTTTTTTGTATTTTTAGTAGAGATGGGGTTTCACCATGTTGACCAGGATGGTCTCGATCTCTTAATCTCGTGATCCACCCGCCTCGGTCTACCAAAGTGCTGGGATTACAGGCGTGAGCCACTGCGCCCGGCCCTATTTTGCATTTTCTGTGTTTGGCACTCAGTCACCCTCTGTTGTAATGTGTACTGTCTTCTCAATTTCCATTGACACTGCCTGCACTGACTTTTCTTTTTCCTCTGTAAACTAACAGTTACAAGTTCCTGATGTTTTAATTTTTATAAGAGGAGAAAGGATATTTAGATGGTGTTTCAGATGAAGCTATTTTTAGGGGATTATGACCCTATTTTTTAAAAAACTTGTACCTCTGACAGGTTCAAAGTGATGCTACAATTAATATCTGATGCAAAAGATATTAACCAGGTTTAGATGAGATTAGATTACTGAAAACAGGAGACTTACATATATTTTGGCTAAAGCAAAAGTAATCTGCTTTTCAGTTGGAAGGTTGGTAAATTTTGTGTTTAGAAATGGCAAATTCTTTCTTTTTCTGAAAGGCAGTTACAGTCTGTGAAGTTAACTTAATACTTTAGACCTGCATTGTACAGCATGACAGCCCCAGCATACATGTGAGCGTAGAAATTTAAATTAAAATGGAAAATTCAGTTCCTTAGTTACACTAGCCACATGTGGCTAGTGGCTACATTGGACAGTGCAGATAGAGAACATTTCTGTCATTACCGAAAATGATATTGCGTAGTGCTGCTTTAGAGACATATAGTTGTATAAAATTAGGAATGCTACTCTTTTACAGTAAGCAGGGAGATAATGCTACTTGCTTAATGCTGCTATTTAGGTTAGAATCTTGGTGTTGGAATTTGACACTGTTGATGTAGAAGATTAGGGCAGGTAAGTAAGGTTTGCCATGTAAGTAAATTGCTAGGGTTAGCAAAAAATAGCCGGTGGATAATTAATTGGAAAAGTGTGTATTTTGATATCTTTTTTAGCTCTCTTCTATTTAGCTTATACCCATGAATATTTTTCTATGATTTGACTTTTTAACTTTTTTTCTTGTTATCTGAATATGCTCCCCCCGCTTTTTTTTTCTGTTTAGGCCTTTACAGTAATTAACAATGTGTAATGGGTCAGACTTTAAAGTATTTCACCCAAATACTCTAGATGGGACTTAGAGCATTTTTATGTATTGTCCAAAGTTATTGTTTATGTGCAATACAATCTGTTAATTTCTTTCAATCTAGTTTTACATGCTATATATGTATCTTACATTATGTTTTAACATATTTCTTTGACCAGGCAGAGTTTAAGTCTTTAAAATGAAAGATTTGAACTTATCTGAGTACTAAACAGTTTTTAAATTCTTGCCTCTCTGCTTTATGATTTTTTTGCTTTAGCTCTTTATGAGATATTCATAATGGAGTAATTGCACTTGCTTTGATTGACCATGTATAAATTCAAATATTTAAGTATATATACACTTAATTTTTGTAATTCCCTTTAAAGTTTTCATGATGTGTTTTATTATTCTGATGCATATCTAGATAATTTATTTTTAAAATGCAGTCTAGACTGGGCACAGTGGCTCATGCCTATAATCCCAGCTCTTTGGGAGGCTGAGACGGGTGGATCACTTCAAGCCTGGCCAACATGGGGAAATCCCGTCTCTACTAAAAATACAAAAAATTAGCCAGGTGTGATGGCTTATGCCTGTAATCCCAGCTACTCGGGAGGCTGAGGCAGAAAAATCACTTGAACCTGGGGGGTGGAGGTTGCAGTGAGCCGAGATTGTACCGCTGTACTCTACCTGGGTGACGAGTGAGACCTTGTCTCAATAAATAAATAAATAAATAAAAATAAAATATAATCTATTCTAAAATTCAATGCTTTTTCCTAGTCTGTATTTTCATATAAGCTTTGAAATTTTTGAGGAAAAAGTTGAACAGATTACATAATAGAGGCAAAGAAAAGAGTGTTTAGGGACAGAATACCCTATATGTCTTAGTTTGAGCTGTGGTAATAATATACCTTAAACTGAGTGTCTGATAAACAACAGAAGTTTATTTTTCCCAGTTCTGGAGTCTGGGCTGTCCAAGATCAGGGCGCTGAAAGATTTGGCGTCTGGCATGGACCTGCTTCCTGGTTCATAGTCAACTGTCTTCTTTCTAGCGTCACATGGTGGAAGGGGCAGGAGAGCTCTGGATGTCTTCTAGAAGAGCACTAATCCCACACATGAGGGTTCTGTACCCATGACCTAATCACCTCCAAAAGGGCTTGCCTCCAAATATCCTCATATTAGGTTTCAACCTGTGAGTTTTGGGGCAAACACTCTATAAGCACTATATATTATGATATTAATTCCCCTTAACTGACATAGCAGGAATTGAAGTTTCACCATATTCACCCAGCACTTCTGAGAGCAGATTTGGCAAACTGTCTTCGTGTAAAGACCCAGATGGTGAGCTTTCAGCTTGCAGGGCAGACAGCCTCTGTTGCTCTTCCACTCTTCTGTTGTCGTGCAAAGGTATCCATAGACAACGTGTCAACAGGGAGCACGGCTGTGTTTCAGGAAAACTATAATTTCAAAAACAGTTGGTGCACTGCATTTGGCTTACCTGTATTCTAAGCAGACTCCTGTCACAGGGATTTTTAAAAAGAGCAGGAGGCAGAGAGACACCTTTCCTACTAGCTTCAAAAATGTAAGTTTGCTAAGTGGTAATTTTAAACTTGCTATAGCACAGCTAATGAAATAAATGAACTTTTCAAAATAAATGACTTATTGTAGAATATTGTTCTGAAGCAGGTGATTTTTAAAATGCTGATTGAAATGTTTGCCTTTCTCTTGGTATAGCTTTTGTGTAAAAGGGGAGTGAAATAATGTAAGGCTTGATGTTTAACACTTGAAGTGAGAAATATGCAAAACAACATAAAAGGAATAGTTAAATCACAGGATGTAAAGTCAGTATATAAAAATCAGTATTATTTCTATACATCAGAAATGAATAGTCCAAAGTAAAATTTTAAAAATCCATTCACAGCAGCACCAAAACGAGCAATATGTTTAGGAATGAACAGAATGAAGTGCAAGATCACTACACTGGAAAGAAAAAGCATTGCTGCAAGAAATTAAAGAAGACCTAACAAAGTGGAGAGAGACACCATGCTATGTATTGGGGGACTCAATTCTTGTTAAGATGGCAGTGCTTTCACTTTCACATTTGAGCAACAGGTTCAATGCAATCCCTGTTAGAATTGCAGCTGGGTGTTTTGTGGAAATGGACAAGCTGATCCTAAAATTTACATGGAAGATAGCCCCAAAAGAAGAAAAAAGTCAAAGGGCTTATCCTGCCTTATTACAAAACTTACCACAAAACTAGAGTAATTAAAACAGTGTAGATTGACATGTAAATTAGTTGAACAAAATATGGTCAAATGATTGTTGACAAGTGTGTGAGGGTAAGGCACTGTGGGAAGGGATTACTTTTCAACAAATGGTGCCATAAATTAGATATATACACTCAGGCCAGGCCTGGTGGCTCTCACCTGCAATCCCAGCACTTTGGCAGACTGAGATGGGAGGACTGCTTGAGCCCAGGAATTCAAGAGCAGCCTAGACAACATAGTGAGTCCCCATCTCTAGAAAAAAAAAAGTTACACACATGCAAACAAGTAAATAATAAATCTTGGGCCCTACCTCAGAATGTACACAGAAATTAACTCAAAATAGACCAGAGACCTACATGTGAGAAAAATCTATACAAGCTTTAGGAAAAAATAGAAGAAAATATATTTGACATTGGATTAGGCAAAGATATGACATTGAAAGCATAAAATAAAAAGAAAATTAGTAGATTGGACTTAATGAAAAGCCACAGACTAAAATAAAATACTTGCAAAATATATATCTGATAAAGGATTGCATCCAGAATATTTAAAGAACTCTTACAACTCCATATTAAGAAAATAGTCCAATTAAGAAAGGAGCAAAAGATTTGAATAGACATTTCATCAATAAAGATATATAGATGCAAAGTGAACATATGAAAAGATACTCTGCGTCATTAGTGTTTAGCAAAATGCAAATAGAAATGACAAAGATACCAGTTCACACCCTCAAAGAATGGCAGCACCAAGTGTGTGCGATGCTCTGGGGAGAGTAGAAACTTCACACATTGCTGGTAGGAATATAAAATAGGGCAGCCGCTGAGGGAAAGCGTTTTCAGTTACCTAAAAAGTTAAACATATACTTCCCATAAAACCTAGTAATTCTACTCCAAAAGAAATGGAAACATATCCTCATGGCCACCTGTCTGTGAACACTTAGGGCAGTTGTTCATAATAGCCCAAGTTGGAAATAACCCAAGTGTTCATCAGCAGTGAGCGAGCTGTGGTATATCCACGCAGTGACAAGAGATACTTCTGAGCAGTGACAAGCAATGTGCACGTGCTGCAGCGTGGATAAACCCCAAGTCCACATGCTGCGTGAAAGAAGCCAGCCACAAGAGACTAGCTTATAGGATGCCGTTTATATGAAATTTCTGTGCAAGGCCACACTGAGTGACAGAAAGCACCAGTGGCTGCCCAGGGGCAGGGGATGGGAGTGAGGATTCACTGAAGATGGGAAGGAAGGAACTTTTGGGGCGATGGAAGGATTCTAAACCTGCACTGTAGTGTAAATTTACTAAAACACAATGAGTTGTACACTTAAATTAGGTAACTTTTATGGCATGTAAGCCTACCTCAAAGCTGTTTAGAAAAGATAAACCTTATAAAGGGGAGGGCGGCAAGGAAGGCCAACATTAAAATAAAATTGAGGCACAGCTTGAATGTTGGTTTAAGGATTTTGTATATTCTCTCACTGAAGAAAATGTGTAGATGTTCATATACATCTGTATTTTTCTGAGCTGAAAAGGTGAAACATGAGAACGAGCACTGACCCTCAAAGGAAGGTGCCCTCAGAGGAAGGAGGTCTAGAGTCGAGGGGGCGACATGGTAACTGTCTTCAGATGCTGGAAGGGAGTAGATGTGTTCGTTCTTTGGCATGCTAAGATGGAATACCACCAGATGAAATGTGAAAAGGCACACATGACCCAAGGAAGGACGGCCTCGGGTACAGTGAGAATGTTCAACAGTATGAACATTCCATTTGTGGAATAGTGCATTTGCCATGGGAGATCTGTCAGTTGATGCTGAGGGGACATTTTGGTTTGCATGCTGTAGGAGATCATGCCAGGTGCCTTCTCCATTCCCTTCTGGTGGGCATTCCTGACAAGCCATGGCAGGAGCTGCTAGCATGATGTATAGCTGTTCATGAGTGCCTTCCCCTTAAATCTGTAAAGAACTAAAGAAAATTGAGAAGTTGGCCAGGCATGATGTCTCATGCCTGTAATCCCAGCAGTTTGGGAGGCCAAGGCACGTGGATCATGAGGTCAGGAGTTTGAGACCAGCCAGACCAACATGGTGAAACCCCGTCTCTACTAAAAGTACAAAAATTAGCTAGGCATGGTGGTGCACACCTGTGATCCCAGCTACTTAGGAGGCTGACGCAGGAGAGTTGTTTGAACCCAGGAGGCGGAGGTTGCAGTGAGCCGAGATCAAGCCACTGCACTCCAGCCTGGTAGACAGAGCAAGACTCCATCTCAAAAAAAAAGAAAAGAAAGAAAGGAAAAGAAAAGAAAAGTTCTATCATTGCACATTGACTTCTTCCCTGTTCTCTGCCTTTTTATGTCTTAGCTCATTTGTTTCTTCTCTTTAGATTCTCAGTACCTCGTTTTCTATCTCCCATTAAGACGTAGAAGGGTGGAGGGGGCTAATTGTGTGCCCCACTGTCAGTTTTACTGCTTTAGAGGTGTTGGTGCCTCATTGCATAAGCAAGCAGAGAGTGAGTTATTGGGTAACTGAGGATGTATAGCTGGAAAACAGTGGGTTTGAACCTGCATCTGTTCTACTCTGAGCATGCTGTTTTAAGTAATCTAATTTCATTTGACTGAAATTTATTTGCATGATCTGTCACAGGTAATTTGCCCTTTATCTCTTTTTATGAAATGAAAAACTATTGCTTTTAAAGAAATTATAGATATCATCAGAGGAGAATCTTTGTTGAGAGGTAGGATGAGAAAGTTCAAGTGAGTTTCTTTCTCTTGATTTTGACATGAGATGTTTTAGAACCGTTTCCAAAGTTTATTCTGTGTGTGTATGTGTTTGAAGATTAGTCCCAGGAAAGGATTGACTGTGTGTCTTTTTTGGCCTCAGAAGACCTCCCTGCTCTGCAGGGATTGTGTGCTCTGGAAAGCAGCCACCGAAGCCCGTTTTCTAGGACCTGTGTGGTGCAGAGGGTCCGAGAGTGTCTTTGCTCTGACTGTGTCTCTGACCCTGCAGCCTGGCATAAGGTTGCTTGCTTCAGCAGAAGCTCTGAAGCTGTGCTCCAGCCCTGATCTCCTTGTCCTAAAACCTTCCTTCATCCCTGTCATAAGACATTTTCTCTCTGTGCACCCGCTGCAGTTCATGCCATCAGACTCTGTCTTGCTGTTTTCTTTGGCCTCAGCACTCCCAGGACCTCTGACTCTAGGTTTGGACGAATGAGCAGCAGGATTTACTCGAGCGCCACTTTGCTGGGGCTTCAGGCCTCCCTCGGATTCAGCTATGGAGTATGTTCCTCAGGCACAGGACATGGGTGTGGGGGGACAGGTGACTGCCAGAGGGCAAAGGGACAGAATTGAGGTTAAATTCCTAAGATGCACAAGTATCAGTCTCCATTTAGTAGAAAGATTCCTTCACTGTTTTGTGGTAGACAGTTCCAGTGAGGGTGATGAATTGTGAAATCAGGCTGTTTTATTGGTTCATTCATCATTCATCTTATTTATAAGACCAACTTGGCACCCCTCTCCTGTGTCCTAGGCACTGTTCTCAGCTTCTCCAAGTTCAGTATGGTGGGAGTCCTGTGAAAACATTTTAATACTGTGTGCCCAGGGCTCTGGTGGGAGAGAGTTTACAAAAATAGCTAACCCCGCTAGGAGCAAGCAGCTCAGGGCAGAGCTTCCTGGGGGGCTTGGTATATGCATTAGATATGAGGACCCTAGGTAGCTGAAGAGGTAGCAGGGGCAGACTTTATTGCAGGACAGACAGCACAGGCAGAGGTGTCGAGGCATGAAATATGGCGTGGAAGCACTGGCAGCTTAATAAGTAGCCTTACTATGGGGGGGGTGGTGGTAGTGGTGGTGGTGGTGTGTGAGTGTACACGTGAGAGAGAGAAAGCGTGTTCACATGCATATGAGCTTGGTGGGGTGGGGTGACACTGTTACATCTCAAGGCATGCTTTCCCAGCCATTTCCCTTGGCCACAGTATATTGTTTGTGTAATAGTCCTCTCATTCTCTCAAATGAGAAACAAATGCATCAAATGTGTTTCATGTACTAAGGGAACAGAGATATAGACAGGACTAACTTTCTCTTTTATCTAGCATTTATTTAGTATATACGATTTTAGAATAGACACACCTGTGCTTTGCCTATAAAAAAATGTATGAGCTGGCTATGGAAATAATTCCTACATGTGTCTTGATGTGTGCCACAACCAGCACCATTTAAACAAGGCCCCGGGGCAGATGCATTGTCTGTGCTTCGGCTTCCCTCACATAGAAATTCAGTTTCGTGGTGGCAGTTACATGCACATAGCACTGTTTGACATAATCTTGCTTGTTTATGTCTTGGTCTGTCTCACCAGCGAGCGCGAGTGCTAGGGGAGCACATCCTGCCTGTCTTTCACACCACTTCATCCCTAGGGCCTCACAGAATGCCTGGCATGTGGTAGGGTCCCAATAAATACTTATTAAAAGAGTGAGTTTAGGATACAGCCTGGTTTTGTCTACCCTCTACTCACCCCGTTTTCTTGTTCTTCATGACTACACTTCCTTCCTTTCTGGAAAATGTGTGTTTTCTGCAGGTTTGTTTTCCTGTGTTCCTTCTGTCTGGAGTGTTCTTCCTCCTCCCAACCTCCCTCTCCTCCTGACTCTCAGATTTTACCGTATCACATCCCTAGCAAGTCTTACTGAGATGTCTCAATCTAGGACAAATGGTTTGTTGCACATACTCTCATGGAATTGTGTTCCTTTCCTCCTGAAAATCTATCTTGGTTCTTAATCATAATTGTTTGAGAGAGTTACTCAAGAAATGTGTTTTGCCCTCATTGACTGCAAATTCTGTGATGGCCATTATGCCCTGCCTGTTTTGTTTTCTGAATGTAGTCAGTACCTAAGAGATTGTATGCTCTCAGTAAGTGTTCACTGGTGAATAAGTGAGTGATGATGTGACTTCTGCGTCAGAGCACACCTTGTCCAAGGAGCCCCCTTGAGCTCCTGCTTCCTGGCCATAGACCCTGCCTCACTTAGAATGCTAGGATCTACTTCAGGTCCTGTTCAATGGGGGTCTTGTGAAAGCCGCTGTGGACTCCCTGTCTCCTTCTCTGTGCCCCTGGAGCAGTGTCTCATCCCTGATTATTTTATTTTATTTTACTTTAAGTTCTTGGGGTACATGTGCAGATCTTGCTGGATTGTTACATAGATATACACATGCCATGGTGGTTTGCTACCTCCATCCCCCGGTCACCAACATTAGATATTTCTCCTAATGTTATCTCTTCCCAATTTCCCCACCCCCTGCTACCTCTCCCCTAACCCCTCATTCCTCAACAGACCCCAGTGTGTGATGTTCCCCTCCCTGTGTCCATGTGTTCTCATTGTTCAACACCCACTTATGAGAGAGAACATGTGGTGTTTGGTTTTCTGTTCTTGTGTCAGTTTGCTGAGAATGATAGTTGCCAGATTCATCCATGTCCCTGGCAAAGGACATGAACTCATCTTTTTTTATGACTGCGTAGTATTCCGTGGTGTATATGTGCCACATTTTCTTTATTTCCAGTCTATCTTTGATGGGCATTTGGGTTGGTTTCACGTCTTTGCTATTGTAAACAGTGCCACAATGAACATTCGTGTGCATGTGTCTTCATAATAGATCAATTTATAATCCTTTGAGTATATACCTAATAATGGGATTGCTGGGTCAAACGGTATTTCTATTTCTGGATCCTTGAGGAATTGCTGCCTTCCACAATGGTTGAACTAATTTACACTTCCACCAACAGTGTAAAAGCGTTTCTATTTCTCCACATCCTCTCCAGCATCTGTTGTCTTCAGATTTTTTAATGATTGCTATTCTAACTGGTGTGAGATGGTATCTCAATGTGGTTTTGATTTGCATTTCTCTAATGACCAGTGATGATGAGCATTTTTTCATATGTTTTTTTGGCCACATAAATGTCTTCTTTTGAAAAGTATCTGTTCATATCTTTCCCCCACTTTCCTGATGGGGTTGTTTGTTTTTTTCTTGTATATTTGTTTTTGTTCTTTATAAATTCTGGATATTAGCCCTTTTTCAGAGGGGTAGCTTGCAAAAATTTTTTCCTATTCTGTTGGTTGCCTGTTCACTCTGATGATTATTTCTTTTGCTGTACAGAAGCTCTGGAAGTTTAATTAGATCCCATTTGTCTATTTTGGCTTTTGTTGCCATTGCTTTTGGTGTTTTAGTCATAAAGTCCTTGCCTATGCCTATGTCCTGATTGGTATTGCCTAGATTTTCTTCTAGGGTTTTTATGGTGTTAGGTTTTAGGTTTAAATCTTTAATCCATCTGGAGTTAATTTTTGTTTAAGGTGTAAGGAAGGGGTCCAGTTTCTGCACATGACTTGCCAGTTTTCCCAACACCATTTATTAAACAGGGAATCCTTTCCCCATTGCTTGTTTTTGTCTGGTTTGTCAAAGATCAGATGGTTGTAGATGTGTGGCATTACTTCCGAGGCTTCTGTTCTGTTCCATTGGTCTATATCTCTGTTTTGGTACCAGTACCATGCTGTTTTGATTACTGTAACCTTGTAATAGAGTTTGAAGTCAGGTAGCATGATGCCTCCAGCTTTATTCTTTTTGCTTAGGATTGTCTTGGCATTGTGGGCTCATTTTTGGTTTAAGATAGTTTTTTCCAGTTCTGTGAAGAAGGTCAGTGGTAGTTTGATGGGGGGGGGATAGTGTTGAATCTATAAATTACTTTGGGCAGTATGGCCATTTTCATGATACTGAACTTTCCTAACCATGAGTATGGAATAGTTTTCCATCTGTTTGTGTCCTCTCTTATTTCCTTGAGCAGTGGTTTGTAGTTCTCCTTGAAGAGGTCCTTCACGTCCTTTGTTAGTTGTATTCCTAGGTATTTTATTCTCTTTGTAGCAATTGTGAGTGGAGGTTCACTCATGATTTGGCTCTCTATTTGTCTGTTATTGGTATATAGGAATGCTTGTGATTTTTGCACATTGATTTTGTGTCCTGAGAATTTGCTGAAGTTGCTTATCATTTTAAGGAGATTTTTGGCTGAGACAATGGGATCTTCTAAATATACAATCGTGTTATCTGCAAATAGAGACAATTTGACTTCCTCTTTTTCCACTTGAATGCCCTTTATTTCTTTTTCTTGCCTGAGTACTCTGGCTAGAACTTCCAATACTATGTTGAATAGGAATGGCGGGAGAGGGTACCCTTGTCTAATGCCAGTTTTCAGAGGGAATGCTTCCAGTTTTTGCTCATTCGGTATGATATTGGCTGTGGGTTTGTCATAAATAGCTTTTATTATTTTGAGATACCTTCCATTAATACCTAGTTTATTAAGAGTTTTTAGCATAAAGGCTGTTGAATTTTGTCAAAGGCCTTCTCTGCATCTATTGAGATAATCATGTGGTTTTTGTCTTTGGTTCTGTTTATGTGATGGATTACATTTATATATTTGTGTATGTTGAACCAGCCTTGCATCCCCAGTCATCCCTGATTCTTGTACCTGCAGCTTCTCTTGCCAGACTGTACTGTTTCTGTTCCCAGGGAAGAAGCAGAGGGGTGGAAATGAGGGAGGGGCTGAACATAGGGAGCTGCTCCACTTAGGCTGTGGAAGAAGGGGAAGAGAAATCTGTTTCAGGCATACCTAATTGGGATTAGGACGATATTTTCCCTGGAGAAGGTAACACAATGTGGCCATGTTCTGCGATATTCAAGAGTGGAAGTCTGTTAACCTTGAGAAATTAAGCTGAAAATTTTCTTTATAACTTGGCAAGTAATTTTCAACAAGATGAATGACCTAAGGGAAAAAGGTAAAAGAGTATATGCAATAAAATTGAATAGATCTAATGGGTTACCTTGTATGGAATTATGTTGTAAAAGCTGCAGGAAAATGATTTTAAACCTCCCATCACAGAGCTGTAGGAAAGTGATTTTAAACCTCCCATCACATGGCTCAGCTGCCCACCAATTTGAACAAACATTTATTGTGGGCCACAGTATTTCCAGAAACTCAAAGATAAAGGAGTTGGGATCCTTACCCTCTGAAATGAACAGTTGAGTTGGGAACATTACAGCGTCATTTCTGCAACAAATGTTTATTATGCTGATGCTGGGATCCAGTGACGAATAAAAAAGACATACTTTGTCCCCTTGTGAAGCCTACAGTCAGACTACCCACCACAGGCAATTACTGTTACAAAAGAAGGGTGTACCAAAGGCTAGGGGCATCCTGGAGGGAACAGCAGTGGTGGAAAGTAGTAAAACTGTGTATCAGCCACTGACTGTATTCGGTAGAATCAAAAAGTTACAAATGATGTATAGATATTTGGTGTTAAGTAGAATGATGCTAAAATATACTTACTTAAAATATTGGGAAATATGATATTTTCCTCAGAAGTCTACTTTATTGATGATAAAATTGAGCATCAGACAAGGTCATGAAAAAAGATTGAATTCAAACTCTGACTTACATTGGGTGGCCTTAGTGATGGATTTGATGAGCACTACTTGGAGTCAGATATATATGGGTTTGAATTCAAGCTCTGCTGAGTTTCCATTACCTTCAGAACCTTGGCTAAGTCACTTTACCTTTCCAGGCTTAAATTGGATTAAGTCAGTAACTTAGATGAGGAACAGGGTACCTGCATGCTTCATATTGTGGGTATGTAGGTAAACTTTTCTTGGAATAATGGGTTCAGATACCAAAAAGAGGTGTTCAGACTTTCAGATCAAATCCTTTCAAAGGTCATTTTTAGTTCTGAAGTATTTTGCTGTTTTTTTTCTTCCTCCTGAATATGTGATGTTACAGCTTGTTTTAAAGTATTCATAGTGTTGTATTTATCACCATGTACTGCAGTTCATTGTCTTCTCCCCAGAGTGTGAACTCCTTAGCAGGGATATTTTACTCTTTAAAATCTCACTGTTAGGCATTCAGATGATAGGAGCTTAGTAAGTGAAGTTATCTGTTGTATTCTGTTCTGTCAAATGAATATTTGTGAGTTTTTGCCTTTAAATCTTAAAAAAATTTTTTTTTGATGGATATTGGTTCCTGGTGTAAGAGATTTCCAAACAGATTCTTTTCACTCATGCTCTTGGCCTTGAATGACACACTTGATAGGTTGACTTGCCTTAGTCTCCTGGTGTTCCCTGCTTCTCTTCCCTCTTGCTTTTCTTCCTCTTAGGCTCTCCACAGGGCAGAAGACATGGTAACTGGCAGAGTGGGGTGGAGTTGGGGCAGGAAGAGGCAGCTTCAGCTGCTGTGGCCTCTATCTTAATCCACTGTGACCCTGAAGAGCAGACTGTCCTGGGGTCCACGTTACCTGTCATCTGCCAGTACTCACAACATTCCTACCGTGACTTCCTAGATAGAAATGTCATCAGGAACTGCCTTAACTCTACTGGGAATGAATGATGATCTTAGAAGTGCCATCTGGCAGGCAGCAGGCTCAAGTCATTTGAAAATTTGTCCTCATGGAGTTAATTAGCAGTGGTTAGTGGCTTGGCAGGAACTCTGTGGGGAAAATACTAACTTCACTGAGGACACTCCCATGATCCCACGAGAGAGAATAAAATGTGGTGGCAAGGAAAGTGGACTTTAGTTTTTTTCTTGTATGTTCTCTGTGGACCATATTCACCAGCCTTTCAGGGGTCTGGAATAAAGGTACAGGCCCTGTTGGTATTACTGTGCTAACCCAAAATTAAAGTTGGATTTCATTTGGGAAACTATGAGCAAGTCTAAAATTGATTTTTTGATATTATCCCCTTAAGAGTTAATGTTTCCATAATTACCATGTATCAGTCACTGTAATAAGCACATGCTACTTCATCCTAGCAATAGCACTTAGAGGTTTGTGTGCTGTGCCTCTTTCACCAAGAAACAGAAATTAGTAAATGGTGGTCTAGGATTTGAACTAGTTGTGTCCAATTCCACCCAGGGCTTTTTATTATTACTTCTAAGCAATAACCATTATGATTATGAAATTTTGTTTTTAAAAAAATACTCTAAATTGAGGGGAATTTATGGAGACAACAGGGTCTCTGAACAAAGGCTGGGGTTGTAGGTGTTGGTGATTATTCATCAGAGCAAATATGCATATATCTCTATCCAAAAGAATATGGTCGCCTTTTGGCATATTGTGCTTAGGATGTAAGGTTTTTAAAATACTCTCAGTGCCCATGGGGAGTTACTTGGTAATAGGTAATAGGATGTCCAGGTCCTGTTGGAATTCTGAAAGAGCTTCAGAACATAGCATTGTTCCATCAAATCCTGTACTCAGGAAAGAATGTGACTGAGATTCCTTTATATACTGGTAAGTCAATGTAGTGTCTCTTTTGGAGGTGTTGCATTTGAATTAACTTTATTTCAAATTGTAAACTGAATTCCTGTCAAGGTTTCATGTTGGTTCATGTTGTAGTTTTGTGAGAAAAGAAGCATGAGTGAAAGGGGTATTTTTTCGACTTTTTGTTAATAAATGAGGAAATTGTCTTGGACAGTTGGGACTTGCTAAATGATGAACTCTACCTGTGATGTGGTGTGTTGTTAAGCATATAGACTTGACATGTGCACGTTCTGTAGTCACTGTGTTAGAAAGAGTACGGCTTAATAGAAAGAGCCTTTGGCCTTTGACTTTGGAATTTGAATGATGGAGTGATTTCTGTGTGCCACTTTGCTGAGTGTTTTTTTTCTTCTAAATACTTTATCCTATTTAACTGTTGAAATAATCCTCTGTAGGAAGTGTTACTGTTGACTTTTACAGATAGGGACACTGAGGTTTCAGAAGGTTAAATACTTCAACAAGGTCACAGAACCAGTTAACTGGCAGCTCTAGAAGTTTGTGAAATTCATTAGTGTTGTTGAGGGTTGTTAGATTGCTTATTTACTGAGATTCTTGTAAGGAATGTTTTATTTAAATTGAAGAAACAAAGATATTTTTACTTGCTTACTTGCTAGCATAGAAGTCTTGGTTTACTTTTTGAAAGAATAGCAGGCACCATTGAGACATTGTGTTGTGGCTGGGTTGTTTTCTGTCTTCTTCATTAGGATGTAGTATTGGGAGTCTTTAAAAAATATTTTAACCTTTAAAAAAATATCTGAGTAATAGTGATTTTATTCTCTAGAATCCCTCCCTTTATTTAAAATTGTTCAGCCTTCTCTAAGTGCTTTGCCTGTGGTTGGTATATATTAAAATACTAATAAATATAGACTTCAAAATAGTATTTTAATGTCAGCTGACTAAAAATATAATTCTAGAATTCTTTTAGATAAACTAACTATGTAGGGAAAAAATGGCTCCTACTTGTTGCTAGCTTATTAAATAGTCCTTATTTAGAGTGGTTATGGAAAAGACAGATAAAGGGTAACAGCAGAATAACTAAGAACCTAACAAACTGCCAGGCATTTTGGTGAAAGGATATTAGAGCAATTGAGCCTGGCATTTATATCTCATGGTAAAAATTGCACATTTATGGTACTAGTGCAAAAATAGCCACATAGATGAATAGAACAGAATAGAGATCTCAGAAATAAGACCACACATCTATAACCATCTGATCTTCAACAAACTGATAAAAGCAAGCAATGGAAAAAGGATTCCCTATTTTATAAATGGTGCTTGAAAAACTGGCTAGCCATATGCAGAAAATTGAAACTGGATTCCTTCCTTACACCTTATACAAAAATTAGCTGAAGATGGATTAAAGATTTAAACATGAAGATGGTGCGGTAGGAACAACTCGGGATTGCAGCTCTCAGTGAACGCGCAGAGGGTGAGTCAGGGCCGCATTTCCAGATGGATCTTTGTTGCCCACAGACGGGGAAATTCCCAGGTGTAGGAGAGACATGAGAAGCCAGCACAGCCCTCCCGGGCCATTTTGGCCGGCGCCGCAGCGCAGCGGCACCTCGCACAAAACGCACTGATCTGAGTGCCCTGTTAAACCGGCAGTCTGAGATTTGGGAGGGCAGATAGCATATCCATCTGATTAAATGGGACTTGGACAGTGAGCCAGACAAGGAGATTCCTGGGAAGTGACATTTGAGCCGGTGCAGTGGGCCCTGCACGGGAAATCACACAGATCCCGGTGCCCTACCAGCAGGCGACTAAAACACCTGAGAGAGAGTCAACCGTTCAACTTAAAAAAAAAAATAAGAGGGAGAAAGGGCTCTGAGGCAGGGAGCCAGGTGATCAGGCTCGGCAGGTCGCACCCTGACAGGGACAAACAAAACGGTGATTGGAAATGCTCGGGGTTGAGAGTTTCACCGGGGGCACAGCTGAATCCAGGACGATGCAGCTCCGTGGGGGAGGGGCGTCTGCCACGACCGAGGCATTCCACCCCTACTTAGGTACATGCCCATGCTGACGCAGCCTACTGTTGCCAAGGCAACCTGCCACAACAGAGAGACTCCGCCAACAGGGCGGAGCCCACAACAGCAGGGAAGAGCCCACGGACAACAGGCCAGAGCCCAGGATGACAGGGCGGAGTCCACAGCAGCAGGGCAAAGCCCACAGCAGCAGGACGGAGCCCATAGCAGCAGGGACTGGAATGGACCTCAGCAGTCGTACAGCAGAGGGGCTAGACTGTTAGAAGGAAAACTAAGTAACAGAAATACTTCAGCATCAACAATCTGGGCGTACACTCAGAGACCCAATTGAAAAGTCAGCAACTACTCAGACGACAGGTGGTTAAATCCACAAAGATGGGAAGAAACCAGCACAAAAAGGAGGAAAACACCCGAAACCAGAACATCTCGCCTCCTACAAAGGACCAAAACTCTTCACCAGCAAGGGAACAAAGCGGGATGGAGAATGAGTATGACGAAATGACAGAATCAGACTTCAGAAGGTGGATAATGAGAAACTTCTGTGAGCTAAAAGAACATGTTCTAAATCAATGCAAAGAAACTAAGAACCTCGAAAAAAGATTTGAAAAAAGATTTGAGGAAATGATAACAAGAATGGACAACCTAGAGAGGAATATGAATGAATTGAAGGAGCTGAAAAACACAACACGAGAACTTCACGAAGCATGTACAAGTTTCAACAGCCGAATTGACCAAGCAGAAGAAACAATATCAGAAGTCGAAGATCAACTCAATGAAATTAAACGAGAAACCAAGATTAGAAAAAAAGTGCAAAAAGGAATCAGCAACGTCTCCAAGAAATGTGGGACTATGTGAAGAGACCTAACCTACATTTGATAGGTGTACCAGAATGTGAAGAAGAGAATGAATCCAAGCTGGAAAATGCTCTTCAGGATATTATCCAGGAAAATTTCCACAACCTAGCAAGGCAGGCCAATATTAAAGTCCAGGAAATACAGAGAACACCACAAAGATACTCCGCAAGAAGAGCAACCCCAAGGCACATAATCGTCAGATTAACCAGGGTTGAAATGAAGGAGAAAATACTAAGGGCAGCCAGAGCGAAAGGTCGGGTCACCCACAAAGGGAAGCCCATCAGACTCACAGCAGATCTCTCGGCAGAAACTCTACAAGCCAGAAGAGAGTGGGGGCCAATATTCAACATCCTTAAAGAAAAGAACTTTCAACCCAGAATTTCATATCCAGCAAAACTGAGCTTCATAAGTAAAGGAAAAATAAAATCCTTTGCAAACAAGCAAGTACTCAGAGATTTTGTCACCACCAGGCCTGCTTTACAAGAGCTCCTGAAAGAGGCACTATACATAGAAAGGAACACCCAGTACCAGCCATTCTAAAAACATACCAAATGCTAAAGAGCATCAATAAAAAGAAGAATCTGCATCAACTAACGGGCAAAACAGCCAGCTAGCATCAAAATGGCAGTATCAAATTCACACATGACAATATTAACCCTAAATGTAAATGGGCTAAATGCACCAATCAAAAGACACAGACTGGCAAATTGGATAAAAATCCAAAACCCATCGGTGTGCTGTATCCAGGAAACCCATCTCACATGCAAGGACACACAAAGGCTCAAAATAAAGGGATGGAGGAAGATTTACCAAGCAAATGGAGAGCAAAAAAGAAGCAGGAGTTGCAATTCTCATCTCTGATAAAATAGACTTTAAAGCAACAAAGATCAAAAGAGACAAAGAAGGTCATTACATAATGGTAAAAGGATCGATACAACAAGAAGAGCTAAAGATCCTAAATATATATGGACCCAGTACAGGAGCACCCAGATATATAAGGCAAGTTCTTAACAACTTACAAAGAGACCTAGACTCCCACACAGTAATAGTGGGAGGCTTTAACACTCCACTGTCAATATTAGACAGATCAACCAGACAGAAAATTAACAAGGATATCCAGGGCTTGAACTCAGACCTGGAACAAGCAAACCAGATAGACATTTACAGAACTCTCCGCCCCAAAACCACAGAATATACATTCTTCTCAGCACCACATCACACCTACTCTAAAATTGACCACATAATTGGAAGTAAAGCACTCCTCAGCAAATGCAAAACAACTGAAATCATAACAAACAGTCTCTCAGACCATAGTGCAATCAAGTTAGAACTCAGAATTCAGAAACTAACTCAGAACTGCACAGCGTCATGGAAACCAAACAACTGGCTCTTGAATGTTGATTGGATAAACAATGAAATGAAGGCAGAAATAAAGAAGTTCTTTGAAACCAACGAGAACGAAGACACAACATACCAGAATCTCTGGGACACATTTAAAGCAGTCTCTAGAGGAAAATATATAGCAATAAGTGCCCACATGAGAAGAGCGGAGAGATCCAAAATTGACACCCTATCATCAAAATTGAAAGAGCTAGAGGAGCAAGATCAAAAAAACTCAAAAGCTAGCAGAAGACAAGAAATAACTAAGATCAGAGCTGAACTGAAGGAGATAGAGACACAAAAAACCCTTCAAAAAATCAATAAATCCAAGAGCTGGTCTTTTGAAAAGATCAACCAAATAGACAGACCACTAGCCAGACTGATTAAAAAGAAAAGAGAGAACAACCAAATAGATGCAATAAAAAACGATAAAGGGGAAATCACCACAGATTCCACAGAAATTCAAACTATTATCAGAGAATACTACAAACAACTCTATGCACATAAACTAGTAAACCTGGAAGAAATGGATAAATTCCTGGACATCTGTGTCCTCCCAAGTCTAAACCAGGAGAAAGCCGAAACTATGAATAGATCAATAACAAGGTCTGAAGTCAAGGCAGCAATTAAGAGCCTACCACACAAAAAAACCCCAGGTCCAGATGGGTTCACAGCTGAATTCTAACAGACACCCAAAGAGGAGCTGGTACCATTCCTTCCTTCTGAAACTATCCCAAATAATCCAAAAAGAGGAAATCCTTCCCAAATCATTTTATGAGACCAACATCATCCTGATACCGAAACCTAGCAGAGACTCAACAAGAAAAGAAAACTTCAGGCCAATATCCATGATGAACATAGCTGCAAAAATCTTCAGTAAAATACTGGCAAACCAATTGCAACAGCATATCAAAAAACTTATCCATCATGATCAAGTAGGATTCATCCCGGGGATGCAAGACTGGTTCAACATACACAAGTCTATAAACGTAATTCACCACATAAACAGAACCAAAAACAAAAACCACATGATTATCTCAATTGATGCAGAGAAGGCCTTTGACAAAATTCAACAGCCCTTTATGCTAAAAACCCTCAATAAACTCGGTATGGATGGAACGTATCTCAAAGTAATAAAAGCTATTTATGACAAACCAACAGCCAATATCATACTGAATGAACAAAAACTGGAAGCATTCCCTTTGAAATCCGGCACAAGACAAGGATGCCCTCTCTCACCCCTCCTATTCAATATAGTACTGGAAGTTCTAGCCAGAGCAATCAGGCAAGAAAAAGAAATAAAGGGTATTCAAAAAGGAAAGGTGGAAGCCAAGTTGTCTCTATTTGCAGATGACATGATAGTATACCTAGAAGACCCCATCGTCTCAGCCCAAAAACTCGTGAAACTGATAAGCAACTTCAGCAAAGTCTCAGGATATAAAATCAATGTGCAAAAATCACAAGCATTCCCATACACCAATAACAGACTTAAAGAGAGCCAAATCAAGAATGAACTGCCATTCACAATTGCTACAAAAAGAATAAAATACCAAGGAATACAATTTACAAAGAACATAAGGGAACTCTTGGAGGAAAACTACAAACCACTGCTCAATGAAATCAGAGAGGACACAAACAGATGGAGAAACATTCCATGTTCATGGTTAGGAAGAATTAATATCATGAAAATGGCTATACTGCCCAAAGTAATTTACAGAATCAATGCTATCCCCATCAAGCTACCATTGACTTTCTTCACAGAGCTGGAAAAATCCACCATGAACTTCATATGGAACCAAAAGAGAGCCCGCATAGCCAAGTCAATTCTAAGCAAAAAGAACACAGCAGGAGGCATCACAGTACCGGACTTCAAACTATACTACAAGGCTACAGTAATCAAAACAGCATGGTACTGGTACCAAAACAGAGATATAGACCAATGGAACAAAACAGAGGCATCAGAGGCAACATAACATATCTACAACCACACAATCTTTGATAAACCTGACAAAAACAAGCAATGGGGAAAGGATTCCCTGTTTAATAAATGGTGTTGGGAAAACTGGCTAGCCATGTGCAGAAAGCAGAAACTGGACCCCTTCCTGACACCTTACACTAAAATTCACTCCAGATGGATTAAAGACTTAAACATAAGACCTGGCACCATAAAAACCCTAGAAGAAAATCTAGGCAAAATCATTCAGGACATAGGAGTAGGCAAGGACTTCATGAACAAAACACCAAAAGCATTGGCAACAAAGCCAAAATAGACAAATGGGACCTAATCAAACTCCACAGCTTCTGCACGGCAAAAGAAACAGTCACTAGAGTGAATCAGCAACCAACAGAATGGGAAAAAATTTTTGCAGTTCACCCATCTGACAAAGGGCTGATATCCAGAATTTACAAAGAACTCAAACAGATTTATAGGAAAAAAACAAACAAGCCCATTCAAAAATGGGCAAAGCATATGAACAGACGCTTTACAAAAGAAGACATACATAAGGCCAACAAACATATGAAAAAATGCCCATCATCACTGGTCATTAGAGAGATGCAAATCAAAACCATACTGAGATACCATCTCACTCCAGTTAGAATGGCGATCATTAAAAAATCTGGAGACAGCAGATCCTGGAGAGGATGTGGAGAAATAGGAACACTTTTACACTGTTGGTGGGAGTGTAAATTAGTTCAACCATTGTGGAAGACAGTGTGGCGATTCCTCAAGGCCTTAGAAATAGAAATTCCATTTGACCCAGCAATCCCATTACTGTGTATATATCCAAAGGACTATAAATTGTTCTACTATAAGGACATATGCACATGAATGTTCATTGCAGCACTGTTTACAATAGCAAAGACCTGGAATCAACCCAAATGCCCATTGATGATAGACTGGACTGGGAAAATGTGGCCCATATACACCATGGAATATTATGCAGCAATCAAAAATGATGAGTTCGCGTCCTTTGTAGGGACATGGTTGAATCTGGAGAATATCATCCTCAGCAAACTGACACAAGAACAGAAAATGAAATACCACATATTCTCACTCATAGGTGGGTGAGGAAAAATGAGAACACATGGACACAGGGAAGGGAGTACTACACATCGGGGTCTATTGGGGGGAATTGGGAGGGACAGCGAGGGGGGGAGCTGGGGAGGAATAGCCTGGGGAGAAATGCCAAATGTGGGTGAAGGGCAGGAAGGCAGCAAAACACACTGCCATGTGTGTACCTATGCAACTATTTTGCACATTCTGCACATGTACCCCAAAACCTAAAATGCAATTTTAAAAAGTATATTTTTATAAATAATTATAAAAACCTAAAAAAAGTCCAGGCACAGTGGCTCAAGCCTATAGTCCCAGCACTTTGGGAGGCCGAGGCAGGTGGATCACGTGGTCAACATATCGAGACCATCCTGGTCAACATGGTGAGACCTCGTCTCTACTAAAGATACAAAAAATTAGCCGGGCATGGTGGCGCGTGCCTGTAATTCCATCTACTCGGGAGGCTGAGGCAGGAGAATTGCCTGAACCCAGGAGGCGGAGGTTGCGGTGGGCCGAGATTGCGCCATTGCACTCCAGCCTGGGTAACAAGAGCGAAACTCTGTCTCAAAAAAAAAAAAAGAAGAAAGAAAAAGAAACCTAAAAAAAAAAATAGATTTAGAATAAAATTAATCTACTTGAAAAAAAATGATTTAAACATAAAATCCAAAACTATAAAAATCCTAGAAGAAAATCTAGGCAGTACCATTCTGGACATAGGCATGGGCAAAGATTTAATGACAAAAACATCAAAAGCAATTGCAATAAAAGCAAGAATTGACAAATGGGACCTAATTAAAATAAAGAACTGCACAGCAAAAGAAACTATCATTGGAATGAACAGACCGCCTACAGAATGGGAGAAAATTTTTGCAATCTATGTATCTGACAAAGGTGTAATATCTAGAATCTACAAGGAACTTTTACAAGAAAAAAACCCATCAAAAAGTGGGCAAAGACATGAACAGACATTTCTCAAAAGAAGACATTTATGTGGTCAGTAAACATATGCAAAGAAGCTCAACATCACTGATCATTAGAGAAATGCAAATCAAAGCCAAAATGAGATACCATCTCATGCCAGTCAGAATGGCGATTATTAAAAAGTCAGGAAACAGCAATTGCTGGCAAGGATGTGGAGAAACAGGAACACTTTTACACTGTTGGTGGGAATGTAAGTTAGGTTAACCATTGTGGAAGACAGTGTGGCAATTTCCTCAGAGATCTAGAACCAGAATAACATTTGACCCAGCAATCCCATTACTGGGTATATACCCAAAGGAATGTAAATCATCCTATTATAAATATATATGTATGCATATGTTCATTATAGTACTATTCACAATAGCAAAGATGTGGAATCAACCCAAGTGCCTGTGAAAGACTGGATAAAGAAAATGTGGTACATATACACCATGGAATACTATGCAGTCATAAAAAGGAACTAGATCATGTTCTTTGTGGGGACATGGATGGAGCTGGAAGCCATTATCCTCAGCAAACTCACACAGGAACAGAAAACCAAACACCACATGTTCTCACTTACAAGTAGGAGCTGAACAATGAGAACACATGGACACAGGGAGGGGAATAACACTGGGGCCTGTCAGGGGAGTCGGGGAGGGAGAGCATCAGGATAAATAACTAATGCATGTGGGACTTAATACGTAGGCAATGGGTTGATAGGTGTAGCAAACCACCGTGGCACATGTTTACCTATGTAACAAACCTGCACATCCTGCATATGTATCCTAGAACTTAAAATAAAAAATTCTTAAAAAGAGACACGCACTGACATATCGAAACTTTGTATGCAACAACAACGACAACAAAAAGAAAATTTAGCATTTGCTTACATTTTATGCAGCCTCAGAAAGGAGACAAGATTGCTAATCTTTCCGAGGCTGGAATAACCTTGGGATATTATAGAGTAGTGTGCCTTTACATGACTTGCCTTAGGAAGAGAATAACAGATATGAGGATGGGTTAGGCACTATTTGCCTTTCAAAAACATTTTAAAATCTTGTAAGGATCTTATATATTGTTGACCACTTTTCTTGCAGAACTTGAGTGACTAGAGAACTATTTAGTCTAGTATGCAAAGCTTTACCCTTGTGTCAAAAATTTTCTTAGACCCTAGAGCTTTAAAACAGATATAGAACACTCTTGTAGCTTAAATTTAAAAGCATAAAATGCTAAAATGTTGAGTGTGCAGAATCAGTATGATTAAATTATCTTTTGTCGGTTTATTTAGCTCAGTAATTTATTTTTTCTTTAGTAAATTGGAGGAAGGAGGAGGAGAATTGAATGAAAATGATATACAAAGACAGAAACAGTATTTTATGTTTCCTGATTACTGAAAACTTCAGGTGATCTTTTTATTTTTTAATTTTGAGACAGAGTCTTGTTCTGTCACCCAGCCTGGAGTGCAGTGATGCCATCTTGGCTCACTGCAACCTCCGCCTCCATATTCAAGCGATTCTCATGCCTCAGTTTCCTGAGTAGCTGGGATTACAGGTGTGCATCGTCACGCCTAGCTAATTTTTGTGTTTTTAGTAGATACCAGGTTTCGCCATGTTGGTTGGCCAGACTGATCTAGAGCTCCTGGCTTCAAGTGATCTGCCTGCCTTGGCCTCCCGAAGTTCTGGGATTACAGGCATGAACCACTATGCCCCACCCAAGTGATCTTTTTAAAACCAGTCTGAATTCTCTTTATTTTTGACTCCCATTTCAACTGATTGAATATGTATTTGGATTTCATATAAAGATCCAATTTTTGGTTTTAGACTTAAAATCGTTTATTTCTTACTTAAATTGCATTCTTTCTTAATGTCTTCTTATATCCCTCTTTATTGTGATTTTCATCCTTACATACTTTAAAAAGTACCAGGCACAATTTCAATGATCTAGAAGACTCAGAGGTCCCCAGGGAAACACTTAATACTCCACTGAGATTAAGGGAAGCAGCTTGCTAGGGTGGATTTGCTCCCTGTTAGCTTCTGACTCTATTAAAATTGTCCTTAGCATTCAATGTTGATCCTAAATGTCTGGGTTTTTTTGATCTCTTGGGAAACAGTGACAGCCTTAGTTCCTTGGTGGTTGTCCTAATCTCTAGTACCTTCGTCCATTAGTAAAAGTGTGCCCTGTGTATTCTGTTCCCCGTAGAACTGTCTGCCCCCTGTCTTCTAGTGTTCTCTCATTCCTGCAAGCCTGCCCTCCTGTCCCTGTGAGTAAGTGGGCAACACAATGCTTGGTGCCAGCCACAGAGGAACCACAGAGAGAGTGCCCAGCATGGTCCTGGCCCACCCTGGGCACTCAGGAACTATCTGTTGAACAAATGCCAGAAAGCATTTGTGTATGCAGCCAAGGGGAAGTTGGCTGGGTGTGCCAGACTGAGCTTGGGCTGTGCCCATGACCTAGTGAAGCATCGTTAATAGTCCTTTTCCCTCAGGAAAACAGTGATTGAATTGTCAAGTACTTCAAATAGTGTGTTATCATGAATCCAATAAGGCATTTTCTTTAAACTACTATTTCATGTGTGATCTTACATTATCTCTTCAACACTTTGAACTCTTATAAAAGTAATTGAATTGAGAAATTAAAAATAAAATTCAGTGAAAATGAATAACAAAAATTAAGAAATGAATAAGGTATAAAATCTCTGAAGGATGACAGATTAATTATTAATCTTTAATTATTAATAAACTGTTGTTAGTAGCTAAGTTACCATTGGTTGCTAACATTTGTAAACATAGCTCGACGTCAGTTATAATGTTAACTGCTGAAGTGTATTTCCATTTGAAATTTACAGCTGTCCAGGGCTGTAGTACTGTTAGCTCAGCCTTACACCCGAGAAAACTGATGCCCAGAGGGCTGAAGTACCTTCCCCAGGTTTATACACCGAGCTCATATTATGCTCAGAGTTTGAAACCATGGCTGTTTAATGCCGAAGCTCCAGGCCTCCAGCCACTAAACCACTTCTTCTCCAACCTTATCAATATGTGGATTTCCCATGGGGAATTTTTATTGTCCCATCCCTGTTATTTTGGGGTTGCTTTCCTTCATTTTTAATCAGTGTGTATGTAAATAATATAAATTAATTTTAGTTTGAACACTGAATTAGGAAGCTGAAGCTCATAATTCTAATTCTTGTCTTAGTTTCTTAATTTATCTGGGCTTTGTTTGATGCCTCCTATAAAATGTAAAGCCAGCCAGGTGAGGTGCTCATGCCTGTAATCCTAACACTTTGAGAGGCCAAGGGAGATGGATTGCTTGAGCTCAAGAGTTCAAGACCAGCCCGGGCCACATGGCAAAACCCTGCCTCTGCAAAAAATGCAAAAAATTAGCTGGGCCTGGTGGCCCATATCTGCAGTCCCAGCGGCTTGGCGGGCTGGGATCACTTGAGCCTAGCAGGTAGAGGCTGCAGTGAGCCGAGATCGTGCCACTGCATGTCGGCCTGGATGACAAAGTGAGACCCTTTCTCGAATGAATGAATGAATGAATGAATGAATGAATGAATAAACAAATAAACAAAATGTAAGAGCCATTGGGTAAATCAGTGGTTTTTCTTACCCCCAATGCATCTAACAGAACATTAATTAGTAATAGTACTTTCTGTAGCATTAATTTTTACTTCTTTGAAGTAAAGGGTTATACCAGATTTTGGGAGACTGGGACAGTGATTCTGATAGGTTACACTCCTTTATCCCCACCTGACATAAAAAAAAAGTTACCAAGCAATTTTGAGATCTATTTTTGTGTCTGCTGACATAACAAGTAGAAATTTTCTTATTTCTCCACTACCTTTTCCATTTACTGCTCTTTCAGTTTGGGGGCTTATCTGGCTGTTGTGATCTTTATGTGTCTCTAACTTGCTGTCATTTACCATCCTCTGGATCATTTGTAAAGTCTGATTCAGAGATCTCGGGGAGTCCCTGAGATCCCTTTAGGATAGAGGTAGTAAAGTGAAAACTATTTTCATAATGATAAACATTATTTGCCTTTTTTACTTTCATTCTCTCAAGAGCGTATGGGGGGGCTTTCCAAAGTCTGTATGATGTGTGATATTGCAGTAGAAACATTTGAGGATCTGTTGTTCTACTGTTAAGTCAGACATTCAATAGATTTATAAAAATATAAGACAATACCACTCTTCTATTTTTTTGTTTTGAAAATATATTTTTCATAACAATTTTATAATTCTTGAATTCACAGATTGTTAAAAATTCTCAGTTTTAATTTCTAATATGGCTGTGTATCAATGGCTGTTGTTTATGTAGCTTATGTTCCTTTGGTTTCCTCAATATTTTTTAAGGATAAAAAGGGTCCTGAGACTGAAAAATTTAAGAACAGCTGCTCTAGAATTCATTGATGCCTCTTGGGTAGCTGGCTCTGTATTCTTCCTTAGTCATCTGGATGGCGGATGTCCCACTGGCCTCTGTGACGGAGTCACCTGAGCCCCTTGTTAGTATCTGTCATGTTTGTGCACCCTCACTATGTACTCTCTTGTCTAGTGCTGCTCCATTTCTGAAATCTGTAACTCCCAGAGCTGGCTGAGACCCGTCTTCTGGAGTCAGGCTTGCTGATACAGTTTAGATCTGTGCCCCCTCCCAAATCTCATGTTGAAAAGTAATCCCCAATGTTGGAGGTGGGCCTGGTGGGAGGTGATTGGATCATGGGGGCAGGTTCTGGCACCATCCCCTTGGTGCTGTCCTCACAATAGTGGGTGAGTTCTTATGAGATCTGGTCATTTAAAGGTGTATGGCACCTCCCCCTGCTTTCTTGCTCCTGCTCTGGCCATGTGATGTGCCTGCTCCCACCTCACCTTCTGCCATGATTATAATCTTCCTGAGGCCTCCCCAGAAGCCAACCAGATGTCAGCACCATGCTTCCTGTACAGGCTGCAGAACTGTGAGCCAGTTAACCACCTTTTCTTTATGAATTACTCAGAGATATTTCTTTGTAGCAGCATGAGAACAGCCTGATCAACACACACTCTCTCGCTCCCACAGGTTCACTCACACTTGGATGTCTGCCTGGCAGTGTGGTGGGTGACAGAGACTCGAGAGTTGAGGGCCTAGGAGGTGTGCTAGAGGTGATACTCCTCCCCTTTCACCTTCCCTAGTTCTCCTGGCTGTGCCTTCCTGCCCTGCCCTTCCTGAAACACCAGCTCTACCCCTCTTGCCTGTACGCTCACCTCCCTTGCCTCATTGACACTCCATGCACACCCAGGTGCATTCCGAGCCTTGGTTGGACATGGCTCTCTATTATATTTGGCCTGCCTGGTGTTTGAGAGAAGCACAAAATGACAGAGCTACTGCAGTCGTGATTTCTTACCTTACTTATGTCTTCAGTTCTCTTGAAAATTGTTTTAATTGATGGGTTTCAGTTTCCACTACACTCTTGTCAAAGATTAAATCTTAGTTACCTTCTTAAATGCATTCATTTTATCTCTGTCCCCACACTTCGCAGACAATATGAATTTATAATGAAAAGTTTTAAGATGAAGATAAAGATAATTCTTGGGAGATAATCCTTAAAGATATAGGGTAAAGTGTTTAAGAAGTAACAGAAAGGAAGAAAAAGGAGGCAGAGAAATAGCCATTGGAAGGAGGTGATGAGGGCTGATGGTCTGCAGGTGTCCCTGGGCAGAGAATGTTACCACCCCACATCTTGCTCTACTCATTTCTGCACCCACCCCAGCATACCTAACGCCACACTTATCTTGGCCTCATATCTCTTCCTCGCTCATGCTTTCTTTGGCATCATTCTCTCTCTAAGCTGCCCCGGTAACTATAACTGGAATAAATCCTCCCTTCTTCCTTCTTCCTTCTTACCTCCACATCTAGCCACCACTAAGAACTGTGTGTGCTTCTTGAGTTGTTTTGAGCACTTGACATTTGTAAAATGTTGAAAGCAGCCGGGGAATGTAGTAAGCACTTAGTGGACGGGGTGACCCTTAGCTCTTATTACCGCTCAACCCATGTCAAAGCCACTATTGGTCTTCAGCTCCACCCATTTCTGCCGTTTACTATCTGGAACCTGCATCTCACATTACTCTGCCAGCCAGTCCCTCTGGCTTCTGATCTGTGCTGTGCTCTGTTGCCCAGATGATTTTGACAGTATCTGTCTGACCATGCCTCTTTTCTGCTTCAAACTCTCTTGGCTCCTGTTAGCTTGGCAGCTTTGCAGCACCCATTGTGACTGCCCCTGCCTTCCTTTCCGCTCTCAGTTCGCAGCACTCCCTCCTTGACTGAGGCAGGCCCAGTCATAATGAACCATTTGTAGTAGTGCACACATGCTCCACTGTTTGACACTTGGTTCCTTTGTATTTGCAGGGAGCCCCCTGCCCCCAACATGAATTCCGGCTGGTCTTTCAGAGCCCTGTTGACCTGTGACCTCTGTGGTGAGGCCCTTTCCCCCTTTTCTTAATAAAATGAGTCAGCCTTCTACTCTACATTGACTTTTCTACCTGGAGTTGTACCTTACCTTGTACATCTTGTATACTTCACGTACTGCACTGTATTCCTCATACTTGGTTTAATACTGCCGGTGGTTTAATACTGCAGGTAGCCAGGGTGTGGTGCTGTGTGCCTGTAGTCCCAGCTATGCAGGAGGCCAAGCTGGGGAAGTTGCTTGAACCCAGAAGGTCAAGGCTTCAGTGAGCCATGTTCATACCACCATACTCCTGACAGAATGAGACCCTGTCTCAAAGCAGACAAAACAAAACAAAAAAACCCCAAAAAAACCTGCTGCTAAGATCCAGACTTTAGAGCCACACTGCCTTCTCATCCTTGCTCACCTGCCCAGTAGCTTTGCCACATTATCCAAGTTACCCTCTCTATGCTCAGTTTCCTCATTTGTAAATTGGAGTAAAAATAATACCTACTTCATAAGGTTGTAGTGAAGATTAAATGAAATGTTGTATTTTATTGAATATGAGATGTCATTGATGGTAAGATGTACCCTTATTTTTTGTTCCACTAAAAAGTTTAATGCCATCAATTATGAGAGAATTCTTGATTTCGGGGATGTTAAAATGTGAAAACATACATGTATTGTATTCAGTGGAGTGGCCACCTGTGAGTGAGCCCCTATACATTTGCCTTTGCCTCCTGTACTGGACTTCAAACTCAGGACAGGGACTGTGAGTCTCATTCAATATTGTGTCCTCAGAATCCTGCCAGACAATTTTAGTGGATTAAAATGTATATTCTAAAAGAACTGATAACAGACTGTGCTCATAAGCTAACCATTTTCTCCTATCTGCAATCAAAGAGCAGGCTGGAGAGTATACCTTTCTTCTAGGGCCTAATTTCTAAGAGGCTACGACCAGCTCATCTGTTGCTCAGCCAGGGTGGTGTCTTCATCCTGTTCACACTTACTGGTTCAGTTGGGTTATGAACCAAAATATGGGATGTAAAGAACTGTAACCAACATGGTCTTTCTTGTTGCTCTTGCTTTTAAGTGATTTTCAGAATTATTTGAATTACTTTATTTCTTTTTCTTTTTTTTTTTTTGAGATGGAGTTTCACTCTTGTTACCCAGGCTGGAGTGCAATGGCGTGATCTCGGCTCACCGCAACCTCCGCCCCCTGGATTCAGGCAATTCTCCTGCCTCAGCCTCCTGAGTCGCTGGGATTACAGGCATGAGCCACCATGCCCAGCTAATTTTTTGCATTTTTAGTAGAGACGGGGTTTCACCAAATTGACCAGGATGGTCTCGATCTCTTGACCTCGTGATCCACCCACCTCGGCCTCCCAAAGTGCTGGGATTACAGGCTTGAGCCACCGCGCCCGGCCCCTACTTTTTTTCTTTTCCTACTTTCACCTAAAGGTTTTTTCTCTTGAAGTCAAATAAAAGAATGATGAGTGATCTTGTGTACGGGCACTGGGGGAGATTTGGACAGTAGCACCCTTTATTAAAATGTGGCTCCTGAGGAACAGTCAATGATAGGTTCTAATCTTGGTGTAAAAACCAAGATCTTGGCTTAGGGGGTGTGAGAGGGATGATATGAAGTCTTTTCCAAACATTTCTTTAGAGTCCTGGTTTTATTGGTGACTAGAATAGGCTGAAATCTGGATGTGTTTTTGTGGATAATTGTCTTTCTCAGTTGCTCCATGATTCTGCCATTACCTTAGTAGTTTTTGCTATTACTAAAAAGCTTTAATTTTTTTATGTGTACTTATTGAGATACTAGGAGAGGCTAAATTGAGGACTGTTAATCAGGCTCTGTGTTGAAGGTCTTAAATCTTCATGTAAACTGAAATATTATTCTTTGTATTTTGAAAGATAAAAATAAATTTGCTTAATACCAACAGCCAAAAACCAATTTATTCGTCTATTTTGGCTAACTTTGAAAATTTTCTTTGTGAAGAACAATTAAGTGACTTCATTATCTTACTGAGCCAGGTGTGGGAACAAAAGTTAGATCTGGTTAAAAAAAAAAGGCTGAACAATAGTTGGGTGGGGGGTTTGGTTCATTTTTGTCATCTGTAAGCAAAATGAGAACAGGAAAGAATCAAGTGACTTCATGTATCAGTGTCACTATTTGTGTCTGGCATAGTGAATACATTGAAATTCCTTTCCTCTTTCTTATGAGTAGGGCTTTGTAAAAGAACAAACAATCCCTCGAGACTTTTTTGTAATTCATTGAGATCCCTTTGTGCTGACTAAGAGAACACCTGGTCAAAAGAGACAGGGCAGATCACCAAGCAAGCCCACACTTCGTAGAACAGCAGAGTTTCTATTGAGGATCATAAGATTATGTGCAGGTCTCTAGGAAGGAAGGAAGTAGGTGTTCTGGTCACCAGACACCAGAATCTGGTGTCTCTATATTCAAGGAAAAGCCTAGTAAGGCTGTTAATCAGTGAAATGGGATGTTAGAGAGAGGGTTAATTTGGCTTACAGAGGACCCCAAGTGTTCTAAAGTGAGTGGGAAGAAAAGGAGGGACTTCTGAATCTTGTGTGAAGATGGCATGGCTGTCTTGTGCTGATAAAGCAGGTGGTTAAAAAATTTTTTTCTATTCAACTAGCAAATACAGAGATGATTTCTCATGTAAAGAACTCAGTTTACTCTTCCTAGTGAGGGTTGGCTGTCTGTTCTTACTATCAGCACTTTACTAGTTGTAGATGTTTCTGATTTTCTGGATCTGTGTTGGAACCCTAGTTTACCTCCCACAGAAATAATATTTCCTTGCTGGTCTACAAAAAAACTATTTTAATTGATGTACCTGCCAGCTATTGAATAGTGAAGAGGTCAATAAATGCTCTCCCCACTGAAATAGCTGTAAAACTGGATGAACTTGTGAAAAACACTTTTGGGCTCTGGAAATTGACCAAAAGCAAGCAACAATTTGCGAAGCATTAATTCATTAAAAACGTCTGACTTTTAGATAAGAACAGTGGGAATTGATGGTATTCTGGCCTGGAGTTATCCTGTTCCTCATCCATTGGCAAAGTAATGCTGCCAGGGTGTCAGCCTGATGGGTTCTTCTTGAGTGCTGCCCAGAAAAACCAATACACCAAGAACAGCAGGTATTGCTGCAATGAAAGAGTTTAATAATTGCAGGGTCAGCCAAGCAGAGGGACAGAGGAGGTAGTTTGCAAATCTACCTCTCTGAGAATTCAAGTTAAGGTTGCTTTGGTTGGCAGAGGCCTGGAGAACTGAAACAATTGACTGGGGATGAAATCACAGGGATGTCTAAAACTGTCTTTGCATAGCTGAGTCAGTTCCTGGGAGGAGGTCTCAGGTGGTGTCTCTTGATCTGCCAAAATGCTAACTCTGGAAGAAAAATATCTCAAAAACCAGTTCTTTAGGTTTTACAATAGTGATGTTATCTGTAGGAGTAGTTGAGGAAGTTATAAATATTACAACCCCTGGTTACATGACTCTGAAGCAGTTAGCAATTTAGAGAAAAGCAAGCTAAGCAATGGCAGGTCGTGGTTTAGATGTGCCTATTCTTTAGCAAAGATGTAGTCCCTACCGTAATTCTAACGTTGTGAACTTTTGTTAATCTTTACAAATATGGCTTCAACTTTTGAACAAGGGTGGGATCAGTTCAAGGAAATGATTATTATAACTCTGGCACCAAG